TGAAGGGTATATCACATGAAATCTGCTCCTCAGAATTTTACGTTATAGAAATACAATCCGAATATTCAATAATATACAGAGTATTCCATTAAAAATGGGAGAGTTGTACCACGACCAAGGTTCCTTAAGTCAATAGGTTGTCTGGTAATGGGTAACTTGATGACACATCTGGGGCGGGGTGCCTTATGGAGATTTGCATCGTGTTGTGACATCACAAAGATGACGTCATAGAGTTATCAGGCGATCTACCTCTCCCAAACAACCTCGACTACGACCAGCTTTTCTGAAACACTCTGTATAAGTATGCGAAACTGAGTTTTAAAAAAATAATAATTTCAACCATAAAACTTTTATTTCAGACACTTCTTCCTAAAATGTCAAATACTCGGTCAAATAAAAAAGGAATAGTGGGTTACATTTATAACTAATAACCCTGTACCATAGACCTAAGAACATATTTGGCGGGCCGGGCCCCTACGGAACCCGGGCGCATCTAAACATTCCGGTATAGGATTCGGCACCTAGGCATATTTCATTGGTCCGTTTGAATTCGGACCGCCAATTAATGAGGAGTGCCGAAATCCGTACTTGAATGTTGAACGGTGCTGAGCCTCAGGTCGGAATGGTATATATACATATACTATGTGGAGTGCCGAATCAAAGGTCAAAATGTTAAACAGTGCCCAGCTGCAGGTTGGAATGTTACTCCGTTAGCGCGGCACAAAATCAACAAACAAACTTTATTTACTTTTTGTTACAAATTTATTTTATTTCAACGATACATTTCAAAAAATCTTGGACAATAATTTGCAGTGGCGGACCCAGGGGGGGATTATAAATACCTGAAACCTGGCAAATTAGAATAGAAAATTTTGAAAATAAATACCCTAATATATTTATCTTTTTTTCTTTTGGTATCTGTGGTGCTTAGTTTAATTAAAATATCAATTGAAGCCAGGCAACAGCAGTTTTTGGATTTTCCTTTCTTATTATTTCCTTGATCCACTTTTTTATAAGCACTATGATGGCATACAAAAACATATCTAAAAAATGTATTTTCCAAAGTCTATTCGCATCCAAAAAGATTCTACGTCATTGAATTGACATTGAATACAAACCTGCATTTGAATCTGTTATAATTATTTTTCGCTGACTTCACATTCCAATTCGTGTATGTTATATCACTATACTCTTCTATCCATTGCTTTATATCGTTTTTCTCCAAATTGTTGGCTCGGTAAATTTGCTCACCACATTGAAAGTGTTTAAATGATCCAGGCAAACTCATCTTGCATGTTTGAGCACAAGAACACATGAAGCAACGGCAAAATAAACTGCATCCGCCGCAAAATTGTAGCTAAGAGGAACACGAAGGAGGTGGACAGCTGATTAAATATAAAAACCGCGCCAAACGCATGGCAACATTCGGACCTGATACTCAGCACTGTTTAACATTTTGACCTTAGATTCGGCACTCCACATGGCTGTTGCTAATGGACCATTCTGACCTGAGGCTCAGCACCGTTCAACATTCAAGTACGGATTTCAGCACTCCGCATCAATTGGCGGTCCGAATTCAAACGGACCAATGAGATATGCCTAGGTGCCGAATCCTATACCGGAATGTTTAGATGCAACCCGGGCCCCGGTAATTTATACCGGCCGCACCCCCCTATGCACGGCCCTGGTCATTGTCTCAAATATTCGTTGGTTTCGGGCATAGGCTTCGATACTGTTGTGTATTAAGTACCTATTAAGGATTATTTTTGCTATTTGTGTATATCACAATTAATGTATTTCATTGTTTATCGTAATGTTATTCTATTGTTTATTTAATGTTCTAAGTAGTGAATAGTTTTTATATTTGTTTATTTATTTATTTAGTGCACACACAAATTCCTTGAGAATTCATTGTGCACTCTAAACATGTACTAACCTAGAGGATTACTCTATTGTAATAAGTTTTTTTTTGTAATATTTCAAAATACGTAATATACCTATAGTACTTCAACTTCAAAATAGTTGCGCTAGACGTAAACAAATCGATTCTCAGCCGAATTGACCATGCAATTTCGTAACACTCTCCCTCTCAAATCAAGCTGTCAAGATGCATCTTTTCTACATTCATACCTTCATTCTGATCCATAATGATTCCATCTATACATCTGCTTAACATCTCTATGCCTGTCTAAGTGGACTGCGTCCTCAACGCAGCGCCTTAGACCGCTCGGCCTTCCTGACATCCCAGATGTACCCGCATGAGGCGTGGCCTTTCTTTCCTTGACCGGACGTCATGGAGACTAGAAGAATAGTTGCCTGGTTTCTATTGATTGTCATGCTGCCAGCTGCGTTTCCAAAATTGAATTTATTGAGCTATCTTTCCTGCGCCTTCGTGGACGGTCTTAGATTCATCTTCATGAGAATCTGTAGAGCGGCTGTTTGAAGAATACTTTTGACCTTCTGGCTCAGCAGTCATATTCCACCAATCTTCTTGTTCTTGGTTTTACTTTCTTCGCTTGCCGAATTTTTCTTTTCTACTTTTTGTTGATTTTTCGCCGGCTTTCCTAATGTTGAAAAATGATTGGATTTCGATGTCACTCTTTTCCAATTGATCACTTCTTAACTGTTCAGAACTCCGTTCTTGATCTACGTCAAATCGAATGCCTCTAACAGGAACTCTTTCACGGGGATCAATTCTGATGCAGTTCTTGTGTTGATCTGGGCACGCTCGACTGGATAAGGCATGCAGTTCACCAGAGCGAAGTTTGTTCAGAAAGTCATACCGTTGCAGGTTCTCAATCGTAGGTTGACAGTATGAGAGAGAAAGCGAGAGTTCAATCGTGATCTACAATCACAAATGTCCTCTTTTTCCGCAGCGGTAACATTCAATGCTCCCTTTCAAGTTCCCAAGTTTGATTCTGCTAGCAGCCTTCCGTAATTCTTCCAGAAGTTTCTTGGTCAAGTCTTTAATAATTCCTCCTATTTGTTCTTCTTCTTCTCGTATTGACACAGCTCTGATATTTGCTTCGGAAATCTTATAGGCCGTCTCAATTTCTAGGGTCTTGATTAAAGCTTCACTGCTATGTGATGGTTTGATTTATATGAGCAGAATTCTTCGTACATCCTTATCTCTAATTCCATGTATAAAATTTTCGGTCACTTGTTGTTCTCGCATTCCTGCAACTGCTTCCAGGTAGTCCAAATAAACCAGGCGGCAGATGTCCGTTTCAAATTCTTGTAGGCTTTTCGCTGCTTGTTCTTAGCTGTACATGGTAAAGCTTCCGTCGGTGTTAAATCCTATAACGACACTCTAACGTATCAACAAGGGCACCATAGATTTGTTGCGAAGCTGGCGAAACAGTCTCTAATAGGTGAAAGGCAAAGCCATGCAATCCAAGCCTGTAGCCATGTCATCGGAGCTCCAACCATTCATTAGGCATTGCAACAGTCTCGAACTATCGTCTGTACCTACATCGCCCACAATGTCCCTCCGTCGTATAGTGGCGGCTTAAGTCTAATACTGGTTGCAGGCGAAACTGAGACATTTCCTGATCCGAAGTCACATTCCAACTTATTGATTCCCTTCTCAAAACTATCCATTTCTTGGCGAATTGTTCCAACTTCCTGAGGAACGGATCCAACTTCCCGGTGAACTGGACAGTTACAATTTGTAAAATTATTGCGAGTCGGTCCAGTTCTTTTTTTTTTGTCTGCTGCCCTTCTGCTTTTCTTTGTGTCTTCGGTCTTCTTCTTCTTGTTTTTCTTTCTATCTTCGGTCTTCTTCTTGTTTTTCTTTCTATCTTCGGTTTTCTTGTTCTTGCTTTTCTTTTTATCTTCGATCTTTTTCCTCTTGTCTCTTATCGTCCAAATTCTTCTAATGTTCTGTGGCGAGGAATATTCTAAAAAAATCACCCAGGGGACTTGTTTTTTGATGTCGAAAACTCATTACCTATTCCAAATATCACTCACGGTTTCCAAATAGACTTGTATGGAAATTTATCGAATTTTCCAGTAAATCCGTTTGTGAGCTTGTTTTTCGATGTCGAAGCCAGTAATAAAGTCACTATTCTTGTATGACTCATTGTTTCCAAATACAGTTCTATGGAAGTTTCTGGAATTTTGAAGAAAATCCGTTTGTGAGCTTGTTTTTCGATGTCGAAACAAGTATTAAAGTCTTGTATTTTTGTATCTCTAGGACTAACCCGAAACTTATTACTATACGCGCAATTTATTGTCGTCATCGTACCATTGATTCATTTAGGAAAATTTGACGCCCTACTCGAATCGAAATTTCCGAATAGTCTCGTTAGACGTGAAAAAAATCGATTCCTGGAAGCCTGGCCGGGTTGTCGATGCATTTTCGCAACAATATTATGTCATCATGCTGTTGTCACTCTCACTATATAGGTACCTACCGCTACTGTGTACGTAGGCAAGTACGTCAATCTTTATTTTTTGTGTGCTACTGAAAAAATGGAAATTGACGTGTCCGAGAGGAAAGTCAGGAAAGTGTTACTTTGGAGAATAACAGGGCCAGAAGATTGTTTCTTATTTAGCCCATGGCAACTTTGACACTGAATATCTTGAGAACTAATGATTCGATTTTCAAAAAAAAATACGTTGTTGTAACGAGAATCAAAATACCTTTCAAACAAGGTACCACTCGACCCATGTTACCTATCTAAATAAGAGGGGTGAAAGTCACCCCACCCAGAGGGTGCACCCTAGCGAAATACCGATGGGGTCAAAAAGTTTCCCCCTTGAATACAAAATTGACGTGTTCGAGTGTTTTTTTTTTGAATCGACCTTGAAATACCTTAAAACGCCTCTGTTTCGATGTTCGTAAAACACACTGTATAGTTTATAAACTCCCTTTCTTCACCGAAAAATTCCATTGAAATATGATTAATAAAAATCCATTTCTCCGCATTTTCGCGGTTTCCCACATTTTTCCGGGATATGCTGTAATTGGGCAAGTACAAGTATGTTTTTTATTTTAGACAATTTTTATTTTGTCCAATGACCTATAACCCAGCCGACTATTATATAAAAAATATAGTCATAAAATCACCAGCAGACGAGAAAAAAGTTAATGATATGATTGAAGTATTCAATAAAAATCGTCATTCAGCATTAAATTTACCAGACTATGAATGTGATGCACTATTATTGAAACAAAAGTAAGTTGTTATAAAAATTGGTCAAAGTAATTATTGTAATTTATTTCTACTTCAGATATGACGAAAAAAACTTTTTTTATACCTTGGCATGGTTAAGTTGGCGTGTATATATTGATGCGAAAAGATACTTATTTCAGTATCTTACCACCTTACTATTAATTTTGGTAAGTCCCATAATTTGGTTTTATTCCTTTGTTGTTTTTTTTTTTTAATACAAAATCCTTAATAAATCTCCTTTGACTGACTCATAAATAGGGCATAACTACTCTTCCAAAATTACCTTTATTCGACACAAAAATCACGACCAAACTTAGCACTATTACAACACTTCGTTTAACTACTATGATGCTTTAAGACTAAACTAAACCAAAAGTCCTGGTCCTAATATCGACTCACGTTTCACTTACTCTCCGAATATTGACTTATTTATCTTCAATTTAAAACTAACTCCGGAGTTATCCAATTCCTTAATTCTTAATATTATTTGTCCCTAATTCTTAATTCTTATAAAGTTCAACATCGGTGTTTTTAAAGATTAAGAATTAAGAACAAAAATTAAGAATAAAAGAATTGGGTAACCCCGGCCTCTAACTGATTCTTGATGCACTACCGTCTAATTTATCATGCATAATTTGGGTGTTCAATAATTGTTATGCTCAGGTCGCCGATAGATGATTTGGTTACCTGATGTACTATTTAAGGAACCAGTGATATCAAAAAATGATAATTGGTGTAAAAGTCAAGTAACAATTGTTATTCATATTAGTTTTTCGTTTTCCGGTTCAAGAATTTGTGCTAATTATTAATCATTAAAAACAGGGAACCCCGACCTTCACAATCCCATTATTATTTGTCATGAAAAACGTCTTGGCTAACATTGCAAAAATTATTACATGAGAGTTCTGGTGATAGCCGTTATCCGGCAATCCTCTACCTTCTCACTTCTTGGATTCTTTTCGAGTTTCCGAGCCTTTTTACAAATCAAAATCAGTTTTTTTCAGAACCTAGAAGTGTGTGATACACTTTCCGCGTTTTCACTCTTCTCTTCTGGATTTTTCACCTGCGCCCCGCAATGGTTTTTACTCTCGAACAAAGACAATTTATGGTGGAAGCCTATTTGCGTAATGGCACACAAGTTGATGAGGGGTGGACTTTTTCAATTCAATCCGCTCTGGTGCAATCTCCCCATGAAGTTGTGGACCATAATAATTTTCAAGAAACTCTTCAGATATATGTCCGTGCAATTGTTCCGGGAAACGGGAAGCGTGGCACATAAAAGTAGCAGTGGTCGTCCATCATCCAGCTCGTACCCCAGAAAACATTGAGCGATTTAGGAGGTGATGGAAAATCAACTATCCTTGAGGACGTCTCATACCATTTTAGAAAAAGATCTAGACCCTCATGCCAATAGGATGACAGCTGACAGCAGTGCAAGAGTTGAAACTTCCAGATCTTTCCCTGCGCTTTATTTATTACCAATGGTTCATGGACAATCTGTACGATAATCCACATCTTGCATTACCATTTTTTATTTATGGAGCATAGCTTCACAAAACTTGGAACGCCTTTCCATTCTGGAAAAGTAGGTGTCTGAGCGGCAATTAGTACAAGAAGAATCATTTGGTTCGTCTAGGATTGCGTTTAGACTTGATCGTTTAGACTATGCTTTCTCACTCTCACTGCCAGATCATCAAAATGTAAATAACGGCCTCTATTGTTTTTTATTCCTGTAAGTGTTCAACCAAACAAGTTACCAGTGCACAAATCGAACATTTCAGCCGGTAGTACTTATTAAGTTGATCGCAGTGATCGCACCAGTGGTGGATTTTCCATTAGGCTTACTAGGCTGAAGTCTGGGGACCCACAACGAAAAAGGACCCCAAAAAAGCCAAATTATATGCCCAACTTCCTAATATCTTATCCCGTTTAGGGCGTTAGAGTAAAGATAAAGAAAGAACAAAAATTCACTCATGTCACACTAGTTCTACCAATACCAATAGAAAACGCTGTTATACTTTCTTCTTTACCAATAAAAATTATAATTTCTCTAATCTGTACTCTGTACTTCTCGATTAAAGCAAAACGTTTCCTAATTTTGCAATAAATTTGTGTTCTATAAGGTACCTAAATACTAAATATAATTATTTTTTTTGGAAAGGCTATAAGTAGTTATAATACGTACATTGATTTAAACAGGCGTAGGTATAATATGATTTGATATGATAATATTAACATTCTTATTTCCAGATAACAGCCTTTATAATTGGGATAAGCTACTCAAGCACGATCATTAGTGGTTTTAGCGGTGTCCAAAGTATCCAAGGAGCTCTTCTGCTGATAGTTTCAGAATTAATATTTAATGGAATGTACCAAGTAATATATATTTTTCCTTCTGAGATTGAAATATTTATAAAAGAAAAGAATATTTACGCCGCTTTGCCGTATTTCGTTTCGAAAATTGTATCTTTGGTGTGTACATATCCGTAATTAATCTGTGTAGTATATCTACTTATTATTTTAGGTGCCATTTGCAATTCTTTATTCACTAGGATTTTTAGTTGCCTACTTTATATGCCTTACATTTTTAACTGGTGGGCATTTATTTGTCCAAATGTATCTTATCCTTTTGGGAGCATCAGTGGGTGGTAGTACACTAGGTAGCAATAGAAAACAATAATAATCACAATTAGGATTTTAATCAAAAACTTTTCCAGGATTATGTCTGTCAGCTTTGTTTCCTACTATCGAATCTATGCATCTATTTATAGTACCATTGGATCTACTATGCCTGCTGCTTTCGGGATTATGGATAAGAATTGGATCGCTGTCAAAATTTTTTGCAGCAATTAAGTACCTCTCACCATTTTATGTTTCTTTTGAGTCGCTAAGTATCGTTTACTGGCTGAAAGCTGATGAAATGGGTAAGACATATTATGTAATGGGTTTGACAAATCAATCTACTATGTATCAGCGTATACCTAGTATCTAATGGCCGGCACCACACATTCAGGCCAACTTGGGCACCAATGATAGTCGTGTTCGTTTAGACATTGGGCGAATCTGGGAACCCTGAGCCAGTTACTACTCTATACTTTGTTAAACCTGACCAAAAACTCAATCAGTCTCATGCTTCATTTCTTATAAATTATTGAGCCACCATGACAAATTGGACAGTGGTTGTTTCGTATATACTGCATTGGTATTTCAGATATACTGCATTGACCTTTTAGATATTGTACCAAATGAATGAAATCATTACTCCAGTTCCCTTGCATTAACATATCCATGGTTATGTTACAGCAAGTTTTAAACATTTATTTTTCACTTCGCATGATTCGATTGATTTTAGTGTAGGAAGAAAGCCCTTTGTATGATTGCGATCTTTGCTTCAAGATGACTGTGGAAATTCTATTCCGATTTTTTATTTACATATTATGGTCGGTCAAAATTGTCAGCTATCAGTACTCTTTTTTTCTGCAGGCTTATTGGTTATAAATTGGTCACAGACTCAACTAGTTTATTTTTGTAGGTATTAAAAAAAAAAATCAATATAAAAGATGATATTATGTTTGAATCTTTTATCTAAAATATTCATTTAATTTATCTTGGGTGATTCAATTTTCCTGTGGCTGTATGAAGAAAACCAATTCAATTTATTTTCTTATTTTTTTTTTGACAGAAATACAACCTGTCAAAATGATTTTATATTTTTATTTCATTCTGCAGTCAAAAACAAAGGTATTTTTTTTTTACTTGACAGATAAGAAAGTTACGATTTTTTTCAAAAATAGCACCAGTCGCCATCTTTAATTCATCATGGCGGAAAAAGCAAGCCTCCTAGGAGGTGTAACTCTTTTTTACAGAGTACCATTGATAGGTACTATCCTCTGTGAAAAAATCAGCTGGATTGCAAAAACTTCTCCTATTTTTGCTAACTGCCCTGGCCTATAATACATTGAAGCAAAATACCTTTCTATTTTCAGATCTTTGCCCAGTAACAGAAAATGTTCCCTGTTATCGCAATGGAACTGCCGTTCTAGAAAATTATGACTTTACTCCTAGTTATGAGAAGGTTTTTCAAAACTTGATGTACTTGTGTTTTATGATAATTTTATATAGTTGTATTGGATACATTGCCATTTTAAGAAAAAGGGCAATTTACCAAATATAATAGCATTATTACAATTTAACGTTCATTAATAGCTTTTTATTTATATAAACGAAATTCAATAAAATTATATTAAAATTATTAAATGCATTTTAAATTTAAGTAAAAACTCTTATGTTTCTTCAAGTACCTGAAGAAAACTAAAAATAAACTATGTCTACAGACTATATCCCATAGTTTTTATCCATTTAAGCCCTTCTACAGTGTCATTTGATGGCGTATATTCTAATCCAATCCAATCGTTGTATCCCGAATCTTTTATCAGTGCTTTAAAAACATATTTGAAGTTTATTTCTCCCTCGGAGTCCGGTTCATTTCTGTTAGGAGCTTGAGCTACTTGGATATGACCAATAAAAGGCTTTACCTCTTGCATAGTATGTGTAATATCACCTTTGATTAACTGCAAATGGAAAATATCAAACTGTAGCTTAATATTGGGACTACTAACAGCATTTATGACTTTTATGGCTTTTTCATAGGAGTTCATGTAGTATTTAGGAACCGAGTACTTATTAATGGGTTCAATTACTCCTAAAATATTTTCTTGCTCCAGAAGTTTAGCTGCAAATTTGAGGTTTTCAACATAGGCGTCGTCATGAGCTTGAGTTACTTCACCTTCGACTCTCCCGGACATTATATGAATTCTAAAAACAAAGGTTAGTTTTAGTGCAACAAGCAACAAACATTATGGTAGAAACGGTTTTCCATTCTCACAAATCGTATCAAAATATCTATATAGGTACTGGTATTATTAGCTTAAAAATACAATAAAAAATGCTACTTGACGCATAGGTGTAGACATATCTATTTTATGATTCTCATAAAGAAAAGTCAGTTCCTTTCTGGCAGTTAGATAAGTCGGTGTGTTTCATTTTTCCGGCCATCCTGCTTTTTAATAGGTTATGTTGCCCAGAAAATCGCGTGGAAAAACGTTGAAAACAAGTTTTACAGCAGGGGCGAGCGCAAAACTCATATACCTACTATTGATCCCACTTTTAAGATGCCGCTACCGCGAAGGACGTGTGGATAGTTAAAAATTAAAAATCTTTATTGAGATACTATGTTCGTCAGGAAAATCGGGTTCCTGGTGTACGTTAACATCCCTTCGTTGGGAAAGCTGTGAAAACATGGAAAGCTATGTAAATAAAGTTCTTGAAACGTCTCAGAGACTAAAAAAGACAGGTCAAAACAAAGAGGAACAGTGGATTGGTACCCTGCTTTTGGCCGGTCTCCCCAGAAAGGCTGGTTGCCATGTGATCCATGATCATGGCAATGGAGCACTCAGGCATAGCTTTCAGGTATGAAGATTACTACTGATTCAATAATTATTACCCTTTCAGCAAAAAGAGCTGAACAGCTCCTAAGCATGAGCAGACCAGACATCAGATTGGGGGTAGGACTGCTCACAGGACACTGCCCAGTAAAATACCATTTAAGGTTAATGGGCAGAGCGGAAGACGATCTCTGTAGATTCTGCTCAGACGCAATAGAGACCGCAGAGCACCTGCTCTGCGAATGTCCAGCCCAATTCTGCAAGAGGCTCAAATTCCTCGAGGGGGCAACACTGTCACCAGAAGAAGTGAGCCAACTGACACCCAGGAAAATAGCTTCCTTCGGCAGAAGTCTACGCTTCCTGGAGACAAATTAAGATGTAGAGTCACTGAGCGGCTGAAAAGCCGAAACGACTCCCCCGCAATCTACAATCTACAATCCTCTGATTCAATCAAGACGAAGTTATTGGACATGTACAGATGTTTTCAACCAACAACAAACACAACACACTAGAAAATAATATTGAGTTAGGTTAGAATCTCGATTTAAATTAAGAGTAAAACTGCGCTACTATTTGGACAAACCAAAAAAAACGACCCTCAGGGGGATGAAAGGGGATGTTCCAGGGAGAAAGTTAGACCCATAAGAGGCAGCCCTTGTACTACCAGAAAAAAATAAAATAAAACAGATCTTGTGTCGAGTTTGCGAGGTTCAACCTCTCTTTCCTGGTCTATTCTGTTTAAAATTATTGAAAAAATATATTCAGTTTTAATCCTATTAAGCAATATAAGTTGTGGTGCCCGAGGAGCCAAGGCGAAGGAGCCTACATTACGCCCTACAACACTATACCTACAACTTTTTTTCCACTTACTTTCTCGCTCCTAGAGCTTTTGCATATTCAATAGTTGTTTGTATACTATCCTTAAATTCAATTTCCTTGCCAGGAATAGCTGCATATCCAACTTCTCCTTTCGTCACATCACCTATAGATGTTGAAATATAGTTATTATTCTTATTCTAGTCTTCGTACCTTTAAAAAAATATTGTCCTTCCTGGTCACTCACCTGTCAAAGTGTTTATAAGTATTTGTTCAATTCCAGCTGCATTTTTAGCATTAACAACTTCTTCTTTTGAAAATCCGTAAGGAAACCCACTTTCCACAGCTTGAAAACCGGCCTTTCGCGCAGAGGCATACCTTTCCAAAAAAGGTTTATCTTTGAAGAGAAATGATAAATTTGCACAAAACTTAATCATGTTTATTATTGGCTTTTGTTTTTGTTGATAAGATGGAACCTAACCTTAATTATTAAGAGAATAGAATTGCCATTTGTGATGGAATAAAGCGTAGGTAACTTCAAGATAAGGTGTAAATATTTTTTTATTGATAAGCTTAAAAGTGGGTTTATACAGCACTTAAGGAAAAAGATAAAATAATTAAGACATAACATAATATATAAATAGGAATTTTGTGGCGTTTATACAGAAAATAACATAATAATATAAGAAATAATTCCTAACTAATCAGCTGGTACTGGGTACCTATGTAAACTAAGACAATACATGTTGGTTGGATAAACTTTTGAGAACTAACGAAACTCAAGTGGCGAGCATTTTACTAGCGAAATGTTGAAACATATCCCTAAACTACTACCACTCTAACCACCTACTGGGTTCGGGTAAAGTAGCAAAATTATAGCTAGACGTGTCTGGAGAAAATTTTTCACCAGATACCTGAACCGCTACCAGTTTTTTTGACAACTTTTCATATTCAGTGGCTCATATCTCGAAAACGGTGAGACTTAGGTATAAATACAAATACATCATTTAAAAGAAAATTTCATTAGCTTTAATTTTACAAAGTATAAAATTTTCTATGGGACGCACCATTCTCGAGATAGACGCCAAAAGCTGAAAAAAGTGACCTTGGGTCGTCCCCCTCCCCCCAACGGTGCATGGAATCGATGGGACTTTATGAGACATTGTTTAGGACATCATCCCCTACACATTCATGAAAAAATTGGAATCCCTAACGTCAGGAGTTTTTTTTTAGCGGTATCATCTTTTCAAATTAGAGTTATCGGAAAACAGTTTTACGTAAAATTTGCCTGTTCAACATTTTCCGTCTTTATCATTCTCATTTACTTTTCGATTACGTTGACAAAGACAAAACATTCGTTCTATCGGGGAGCTCTTCTCCCTGGCCCGAGGATCGGGCTTCAGAAAAGTACCTATAGGATGCGGCTGGGTAATTGCCTGACAAGAATTTCTCAACATCTTCCAATGTTATTCTAGTTTGAAGTATTTTCTTCGTTTGCGTTGCTTCTTTGTCAAGGGTGCTGATTCTATTTCCCAATGCTGCTTCACTCGGAGTACCAGCTGAAAATTTCTGCGACGTTTGGCAGCCCTCTTCTACAAAAATATAGAATAAAATTACTGTAGCGATATCTAGAGTAATCTAGACAGATTTAAAAGAATAACTTGTAAATGAGCTTGATATTATTTTCTTACCTTTCCTAATAATCGACTGTATTTGAACAAATTCGTCCATTTTACTACAGGAATCTGTTTGGATCTGAGTATCGTTGAGTTCCGTACTAGGTATTTGATGTATTCTTTCCGGGACCTGAATTAGTATAACTTTTAATTAGTATTGATCTATATTTTTTATCTTAACACTAAAGCAGGGAATAAATATACTATGCGAAATGCACATTTGACATACCTAATTAGGTTTTTTTTTTTCTTCAAATTTTCTTGCATACGTATAATTACATTAGGGTGCCTATTTGCATTTCGCTTGCTATTTGTAAAAAGATTTAATTAGGACTACCCTTCTTCGTAATTTGAATAATATAGGGCAGGGCATAAATTAAAATTAGGTAGGTACCTACCTATGGAACTTGAGCAAAATGGCCTGAAAAACCCGATAGGCGTCAATGTCTTTGTTTGAGGCAAAAACAATGTAGAAACTGCATTGCAAGTGAGACGTTATTTTGAACCTAGGAAACAATCCTCCGTGAAATGCAGACTATACAAACTCTTGTTCGAGCATAGCATTCTTCTGGACTAATATTAGCAAAAGGATGATTCCCATTAAACCCAAATTGACTTCTCTATTTTTCGCATCTGTAAGCAATGGACATTTTATTTTGTTTAATTATTTTTTTGAAAATCGAATGATTAGTTCTCAAGATATTCACTGTCAAAGTTGCCATGGGCTAAATAAGAAACAATCTTCTGGCTGGCCCTGTTATTCTCAAACTAACACTTTCCTGACTTTCCTCTCGGACACGTCAATTTTCATTTTTTGTGTGCTTCTGAAAAAATTCAAATTGTTCGTCTGAGAGAAAAGTCAGGGACGTGTTAATTTGAGAATTACAGGGCCAGAAATGTGTTCCTCATTTAGCCCATGGCAACTTTGACAGTGAATATCTCGAGAACGAATTATTCGATTTTCAAAAAAAATATGCACTTATGACGAGAATCAAAATTCCTTTAAAACAAGGTACCACTCTAACCATCTTCCCTATCTAAAAAAGAGGGGTGAAAGTCACCCCACACGGGGTGCGCCCTAGCGAATTACCGATGGGGTCAAAAACTTTCCTCCTTGAATACAAAATTGACGTGCCCGAGCGTTTTTTTTTTTTCTTATTCGAACTTGAAATACCCCAAAACGCCTCTGTTGCGATGTGCGTGAAGCACCCTGGTAATTAGTTGTTGATTGATAAAGTTGTTAGTTGATCAAATAAACTGTTTGGTAGAGAAAAATGAATTCCTGGACTGGATCTGATGGAAACATTTCCAATTCCCGGATTATGTATGTATGTATAATTAAATTACTACGATGAGCTATTTCCTAGACTCAGATGAGTTTAGGAAATCACATAACAGTCGATAACATTACTAGTATAGTATGCAGGGCCGGCTCCAGGACCCGTGCAGCCTGTGCCCCTGCACGGGGCGGCAAAATCGAAGGGCGGCAAAAATCTCGGGGAGAATTGTTGCATACTCTGTAAAAAAATTAAATAAAACATGTTCGGGTTTTTTAAACTCTGGTTAACTCCAAACAATCTGAGCACAGTTTTAAGGACTGAATAAGCACCTACGCAACTTGTTCTGCGCAGTTCCATGATGGTTCGCGAACAGTTCGAAAAACGAGAACCCGAAAACACCTGCTAGCCTAGTTTCACGCGTTTGAAAATAATCAAAATATAATATATATCATAAAGACTTGTGCGGTACTCGAGTATAAATACTCTTCACTTTTACTCTAAGTACATTTTGAGTTACTCGGTATTCAGGCCACGATACTTTGAATAATGTAATTGTACAGAATTGTACCTACTTGTACTTGAACTGTTTAGGAATATAAAAATACCCGGTACATTTTATTGTAATGAGTAAATTTCAAAATACCCGAGAACATCCTTTTATACTCGAATACATATACCCGGGTATTTTCATTGTTTTCGAATACATTTGCAGTTACTGAGTAAAATTATTGGACTCTAAGTATATATTTATTTAGCCACAAGTACATTTCCAGACAAGTTGAGTCCTGTTTCCACAGAAATCACTTGCCAGTCAAGAAAACTGGTTGTTGTCAATTTGCACCAATCAAAAACGCTCTAACTGGTTTGTGATTTCTGTGAGAACTGTGACTTCAATTTTCTGGCATTTCTTGTGTAGTGTACAGATGCGTAGCATTCGTTCCGTTGTTCCTTGTGATTCGCAAACGAAAATCTTGAACTTTTTTGTGCACTATGACGATGTGTCTGAGCACGTAGATTTGAAAATTCTGAGCCCTTATAAATTCTGGAACTACAAAAGTAGGAAAGTAATCGGTACCTAAGAGGGGCGGCAAAAATACCTTTTGCACGGGGCGCCGAAATGTCTGGAGCCGGCCCTGATAGTATGAAACAAAAAATATTGTAGTTCTTTCACTTGTGCCTTTTTGGATTGCCTAACAGCGACTACAAGAAATAAAAATTCACTTTTATTGCGTGAGCCGTGAATACAAGCCGAATATCTTGTAGGTAATTTGAAATGAGTACTTTTTTTTGCTTAGGTACCTACATTTGGAAATGATTTACCTAATTGTAGGTCAGTGAAGAAGAGTTCAGAAATTTAAAAAAAAATTATGCACCCTGTATAAAATGTGAAACAAAAATTAAAATAAGTGGATGCGTACCTAAGCATTTATCAAACTTACAGAAACTATGTATGTAAATTAGGTTGCAAAATTGCAGTATGACAAAAATGCTTATGGAGTTATTATTTTAATAATACAAATTTGCCCAGCTAACAATTTTGATCTCACTTCGATTGCTAATTATTCCTGTGATAATATCTACAAGAGACAGTTTTGTTTAATAAAAATTAAAAATTGAACATGAAGTATTTTGCGTTGTTAACTGCGATAATGGTAAGCGAAACAATTTTATTTACTAACTGTTCTTAGTGTTTTTCAAATTCTCTTAATTTTGCTTCGGAAGTTTTTTATGTTTTAAATATGAGTACCTACCTACTTTCTCAATATGTATTTCATAAATCTCCACTTTATGAGATTAGCATATTTTATTTTCAAATCTTCTAAATTCTGGCAACTTCAAAAAGTAAAAAAAAAATGTACAACACTTCTTATTAAATCTGTAATTACATTTTTTATTTTTTTTGCAACTTGTATGTACAAAAATAATAGTAGGTGTAGATACTTACCTAGTTGAACACTATAAACACTAAACACTGAACAGCCTTAGAACAGCCAATTAATTTGAAAATATAGAACTATTTCCAGAAAAAAATTTATGAACTTACCAATACCAATAACTAGCAACCTAAAATGTCACCCATGAAAAATATTGAGCATTAATTACTTACTTTTTAACAAGGGATATGTACTTATATAGGTAATAAGTTTTTAGTGCTCTGACAGGTACTGGGTGTTTGTTTATAACTGGAACACTCAGTAACTTTCTTATAATTAAAAATGAAGGGCATGTTCAAGTTGGAAATTTTTTTGGTAAATTGCAACCTTAAACGATATAACGATATTTTTTTGTCATCATAGAGGTATACAGGGTGCGCCAAAAAGGTATTTTATTTTAAATGGAACGCCTTTTATATTTTTGTTATCCCAAATACCTATAGTGTTTGATATTTTGGTGTAGCTAATTTTCTAAGAATTTTTTAAATGCAAAAATATACAGGGCGTTCCATTTAAGAAAAGAGACTTTTTTGGCGCTGTATACCTATGGCGAAAAAAAAATATGGTTGCAGCGATTAAGATCGTTGCAATTTACCAAGAAATTTTTCAATTTGAACATGCCCTTTATTATTAATAATAAAAAAGTTACTGA